TGGAGTCATGCCCGGCCATCAACTATCACCAGAAAATAGTATTTCTAACCTCTATCACTGACTATAGTACTTCAGACCTCCGTCAACCACCAACTACAGTCCTTCTGACCAACATCACCTACTATGATCTTTTCAACCTCTGTCGTCCGCCAACTATGATCTCTTTTGCCATCATTTTTAGACTACAGTCTCTCTAACCATCGTCGCCCGATTGCAGTCTTTATGACCTTCGTCGCCCATTGACTATGGTCCTCCCGACCACTGTTACCCGACTACGATCTTTCTGACCTCTGTTGCCCATCAACTACAGTTCTTTCAACCACAATTCTTAGACAATGTTTTCCCGACACTATTATCTGACTATGATCCTTTCAACCATCATTACCAGACAACGGACTTTTTGAATTTTGTTGCCCTTCGACTATGGTCCTTCCTACCATCGTCCCTGACTACAATCTTTTCAACCTCCGTCACCCGTCAACTTAGATCTCTTTGACCACAATCTCTAGACTATGGTCTCTTTGACCGTCGTTGCCCGAATAAGGTCTTTCTGACCTATGCTGCCCACCAACTACAGTTCTTCCTACCACAGTCGTCAACTATAGTCTTTTTGACCTCCGTCACCAGCCTACTATGGTTATTTTGACCACCGTTACTGACTATAGTCTTTCCAACCTTTATCGCCCGCCAACTACAGTTCTCTCGACGACCGTTGCATAACTACAGTATTTTCGACCTCCGTCACCCTCCAACTACGATCTCTTTAACAACCATCTTCAGATTGTTCTCTCCAAACACCGTCGCTCGACTACAGTTTTTGCAACCTCTGTTGCCGGCCGATTATGATTCTTTTGAAATGTATGAATAAGTATAGGTGAGAATAATAGTAAAATAGATCAAATTCTCTTTCATAAACTTACATGGGTAAATATCTCATTAAATATAAAGAATTTTTCTCAAAAAAAAAAAAAACTTAATTAAGCCATAATTGCTTCTAAAAGTCTTCCGGAATCAAATAGGGAAAAAAATAGATGATCCATTCTCTCTCTCTCTTCTACCCATTTTGATCATGAAGAATGAAGCCATAAGAATTCCAAATAGAAAACCGTTAACAAAATTTCTATCATGCTTAACCAATCTCAATCGTGCATAAGAAACCATACATGCATAAGATATAATTTCATTAAAGTGTAATACATCCTGATCATTATTATAATGTGTGTTTCCGTTAAACGGGCGACTTGCTACAGTGATTTTTTTTTTTTTAATTTTTTTTTTAAAATTTTTTTGAATGATGACTAGATGCTGACTAGACTTTTAGAGTAATTAAGTCGCCCGTTTAACGGACGACTTTGCCTATTTTTAAATTTTTTTTAAAATATGCTTAAACTCTTAATACAATTTATAATCATGTTTATTCTTAAAATTTGTACTAAACAAACACATGCTAATCCAAGTCTGAATGCAAATTTGCCTTTACAGATCACACATAAATTTTAATGATAAAATAAGCATTGTTACAGCTACAAGTTTTAACTTTTAATGCCTATGCCCTATGCTGCCATCGAGCCCTGCCTCTCTACTGCTCTCTGATAGCTTAGCCTCTTTTGATCCTTGTCTTCACATTTCAAGCTCTCTTGTAGGACAAATTATTACGCGCAGTGTTCGGATGTAGAGTTACATCTCTATGTCCGAACTCCAATAAAAAATATGATATGTATTCTTATATACAATGTGTATAAATTTGTACATACTATATATAAAATCATATAATTTATATATAGTGTATAAATTTATACATACTGTATACAAGGACATATTAAATTTTTATTAGAGTTTGAATATAACTCGATGTTCAGACTCTACACATAATAATTTCTCCTCTCTTCGAGATATCTATTGGCTGTCACATACATCCTACAACAGCGACAAGACAACTACCCTCCTATTCAACTATCATCAATCAGCCTTTCATCCACGCATGTTTCACGCTTCTGATAAGTGATGATAATTGGCATTGCATAAATATTCTTTTTTTTATTTTTTTTATATAATAAGTAAATATTTTGAAAAAATATTACATAATAAAATTGAGTAAATTATATAACGGTGAAGCTTAAAGAGCAATAGATGAACATCAACTAATTTATTGATAAAATTTTAAAAATTATTATTAAGAATTCTTACAAAATCTCGTCGACTTTAAATGTATAAAAAAAAAATATTATGTTAAATATTTTAGTAAGTTTTGTATTAAATGTTTTATTTTATAAAATATACCATTACTTTTTTCAGTCAAATTTTATTACTAAATTATTAGACATTTATAATATTTTTTATTATAATTATACTTGTTAGGAATTCTTCAAGGAAGAAGAAGATCCTTCTTAAGCTTCTTCGAAGAGAGAAAGGGAGAAGGGAGGAGAGGGAAGAGATTACAAATGAATTATTTATTTCTTATTCAAATGAGTTGTTACATGGGGGTGTTATCACAACGGTTAGGATCTTGCTTGAGGAACAAACTCTTCTTGACCTTTCTTGGAAGAAAGAGAAGGAGAAAAGAGAATGAAGAACTAGAACTCTACATGAATTAATTCATTTATTTGATAAGCTTCAAGTTATAACAACAACAATCTATACATCCTATATATAGGAATTGGACACTGATGTAGTGTCTTTGTGAACAACTAACCTAAAACTTGATCAAAACCCAAAAATCTCTACATTGGTCCAGATTTTACAATCAATGAACCACATGTTCGCAAGAATCTGTGCCTCCCTGCTCCCTGCACTAACTCCACAAGCAAAACTGTTGAGCCAAGCCCAATCCCGATCATGTTTGGCCTCCATTGTGCGTTTCAATCCACGGTTCTAGCTTGCGCTCTAGGGCATTCTAACCCACGTGCGCCTACACCCATCATTGTTCCTCTCGTGATCCAAACGCCCGTGCCTTATGCATTGCCTACTCCTGCTTGCATCCAGCACACGCACTTGCTCTTATTAAGCATGCCCGTGCTCTAGCATAGAGCACACTCTGACTTGCCCATCTTCCCTGGGTACCCCTACATGATCGGACCTATGACTTTGCATGAACGACCCATCCCATCCAAAGTCCACGACCAACTTGTCTCTATGAGGTTCTTGATCTTATTTTGTCTCTGTGAGGTTCTTGACCTTGCTTTTGTCTCCACTTCTCTAACACATCCCATTCGAACACCCAGCTTGTCAGGCTCGTCTTTCGGCCGCAAATGAATCGCGACACAAGCATCAAGGAGATTTCTTGACTACTTAATCGAGTCTCCCTCGAACACAAATGTCGGCACGTCTTCCTCCATCCACAGGCTGCTCCTACGTGACTCACGGCACCAGCCCTTCTATGCTTGATTCACAAGCATGACCGCGCGTCTTTTGTGGTTAGATGTGCAGTTCTTGTTGATCATGTACGCACAAACAAATGTTGTGGGATCTGCACAGGATCTCCTCGAGCATGCGCATGTTCCAGCGCTCGTGCATTTATCTACGTGTCCCGATCACGGCACTGGGCAACTGCTTGCCTCTCTGCAGCAAAACCATGGCCTAGCTTCTGAGGCTGCCTGTTTAGTCTGATTCGTGCATCCACCTACGCAACTGCCTCCGCTCCTCATATTCGTCGGGCAAGAACCTCTCTCCACCTCCACATAGCACTAATACCACTTGTCATGAATACTTTGGGGAAAAGGAAGGCTCTTCTTGAGCTTCTTGGAAGAGAGAGAGGGGAGAGGGAAGAGAGGAAAAAGATTGCACATGAATTCTTCATTTCTTATTCAAATGGGTTATTACAAGGGGGTGTTATCACAACAACTTAGACATTCTCGTATTAAGAGATAGCACGTTGTATATAAAATTAAGAACACATTTCATAGAAAAAGACTAATTTTATGTAAAGTACATCAATATACAATAACAACAACTACATCATCAAGCCTATATCCCACTATATGGGGTCAGCTACATGAATCCTTTTCTCCATTGTGCTATGTTAAAAGTTAAATTCTCATTTAAATCTAATAAAGAAATGTCGTTTCTAATATTTTCTAACCAAGTCTTTTAGGTCTACCTCTATATTTTTTAACATAAGTCAAATCTAATTCATCCACTTTCCTAATCAAGTCATCAGAAAGTCGTCGTTTTATGTGACCAAACCATCTAAGCCAACTCTCTCTAATCTTATCTTCCACTAAAGCTGCTCCAACTTTTTCACGTATATGCTCATTTCGTATCCTATCTCTAAAAGTAAAGTCACTCATCCACCTGAACATCCTTATTTCTGCAACACTTAATATTATGCTTGTCTTTAATGGCCAACATTCTGCATCATAAAGCATTGCATGTCTAACCACCATCTTATAGAATTTCCCCTTAAGTTTGAGGGAGACTTTTCTATCACACAACAAACCCTATGCATTTCACTTTAGGCTTCATTTTGAACAACTTTTTAAAACAAAATTTTTTTGAAAGTAACGAAAAAATTTTGACCGAAAGTTATCCCAACCAGACGAAGATTTAGTACCCAACTTTTTTTAAAAAAAAATTGCTCTTAATTACTAGATTAATATAATCACACTTTGTAAAACAAAGTAAAATTCATATAAACATTATCAAAGTTACAATAATAATTAGTAACGACTTCAAAAGATTAAAGCTGAGTCAGAGAGAGAGAGAGAGGGAGAGAGAGAAGAAGAAGAAGAAAGAGAGAGGGAAATATGGTTAAAAAAATCCAGTAGTCCCCCTTCGCCATTCTTTCCTCACTCTATCTCGCTTTCAAAATTATTTTATGATACTTCCAGATAGTTAAGTTTGGTACTATCAAGAGTTTATTACAAGGGCCCATTGCCATCAGTCATACGACAATCATGAGAAGGGAGGAAGAGCAGTGCATCATTACCTCCAACAGTCACCAAAACAAAAAAGAAATCTAACATTAATTTTAGTATTATACAACCACGAGAGCATTGATTTCCAGAAGCCAACAATAAATTATATAGGACCACCATGAGAAAGTCATAAAATCTCTCTAACTCCTCTCGTAGAGGAGACCCTCAAAACAAAACAAAACAAAACAAACATTCAGAAACCTTCTTTGATTCTACTGATAAAGGACAAATGAGAAGAAGGCAATCCTGAAAGCTGCCATGTCCATTCCAGCCTTTTGTCCAAGGAAGAACAAAATCACTTCCTTCCAGTTCTTGAGTTACATTATACTCCTCAAGTAGTCTGACATTTAAATTAATATCGAATGAAGTATTTATACACTGATGAAACATCTACAGAATTAAACAAATTAAAGCTTCATTTGAGACGGCTTTTTACTGCTTCTTAAAGTAGTTTTTAGTAAAAATAATTTAATTTTTTACTAGAAAACTGCTTTAGGAAGCATAAAAAAGCTGTCCCAAACGAAGCCTAATACTTTGACTCTTCATATTCTACATTTGGTTACTCAATCTTCAGCACACTTCAAAAAATGTCAAACGTGCAGAAGAAGAGGAATCAGTCACAGAATAGGAAGGGTCAGGCACTAATTTGCTAATTCAGAACTTACTGCCAATAAGTACTTTAAACAAGTCACCCTATTAAATTTGGATCTATATGGATAGAACAGCACTTGTCTAAATTCTTTGTCTCATCATCTCCCACAGATGCAGAGGTAATGCTCTGATCATCTTCATAGTAGTAAGGAGAAAGCTTCCCATCCTTTGGCAATGGCTTGGGTTTCTGCTCATAGCTCACTTCATAAAGCATTTTGACTACCCTTCTCATGGTGGGACGGTTGATAGGAAGAGAACTGGTGCAGAGGAGGCCAATGTGCAGGACTTTGGTTATCTCCACCTTATAGCACAGATCAAGCTTGGTATCTATCACATGATCTTCTCCTTTCTGCTGTATTGTACTGCAAACCCACTTCACCAAATCTTTTTCTCCAAATTCAGGATCTACGGGAAGCTTTCCTGTAACTAATTCAAGGATGACAACTCCAAAGCTGTAAATGTCGCTCTTTTCATTTACTCGTAGAGTGTAAGCATACTCTGCAGATGTTATTAGAGAGATTAGCTTTGCTAAACACAGATCAACGATTAAATATTCAATAGATTTACAACTCATGTATGGATTGAATGAAGCAGAATGCTTGATTTGTCTGTACTCAGGATTAGAATAAGTTTGCAGAGCTTAAACTATGAAATATTTTGCAATAATCATCTAATGTACATTTCTAAGCACTGATAGCTTGTTTGGATCTTGAATTTGGATAGATTACTGGAATTGTGTACCATTATAATTGTGAATTGCATCCATGTCAACTTGGTAAGATTTTTTTAGATTGTAAGCACGACAGCATAGCATAATTGATTCTCTTTCTATCGTTCTCTCTCCTTATAAATTTTTCTGTTGTTACTCAATAAGATAGCTTGTCTAATAGAATGACAATTCTTTATTAGATTTAAACAATAATATAACTCTTAATAGAACATAATGGAGAAAAAGGATTCATGTAGCCCATCCCACGTAGTGGGATAAAGGCTTAATGTTGTTATTGTTGCTTCTGCTGCTAATCTTTCCTACGAACTGAAAGTTTTATTTGCATTCGACTTGTTTATTATCGAGTTTTAGCTGAGCATAAAACAAACAAAAAGCCAAGTTTACATCCATCAAATACATCAATAATATGTTTTTAATGATTTCTGAAATATATTTGATTGTTATAACAATAAAATACATGAGCAATGAAAAAGCAAAAAATAAATCCATTAAAAGAAAAGTAGAAATCCATTAAAAGAAAAAAGAAAACAAATATCAAGTTCAACTTTAAACAAAAAAGAAAAAAAAAAACCTCCTTCCTTGATGAAGATTTAGAAAAAGGAAGTGCAGGATATGGGAAAAGCTAGATATGTGCAGTCACAATCAGTACAGCAAAGCCATTTTGATGAATCAAGCCTTGAGTTGTAGGCCATAGTGAGCCATCAACGCTTGGAAGCATTGAAACAGATCATATTTGCACATGGAAGCACAGGAACTCACCAAGTCCACTATGGTAAAACAGGATAGAATAGCTTGAAAAAAAGTAAAGGCAAACATCCTTTTCCAAAAGAAAAGTGTATAGTTTCTAAATTGAGTTAAAGACAATGTCCATAAGAATCAGAAAGAACAATTCCATTAAGATGGAAGGTGTGAAGTGTGATTCATGACTAAGTTCAGCAAGTGAGTAGAAATCTTTCCATGGAAGGTCATGAATTTATGTGGAAATCTTTCTAAACTAGTAACTAGTATGGACTAAAGAAAGAAGGAGAAATTATTTTGTGCGGTCACCAGACTGCGTTCGGACGAGAATCAGGACGTGCCATGTGACTTTTTTGTTGTGTACCGCTGCTATGTACTGGGTGACATGACGTCTTCTCATTCGTCTCCAAACATTCCAGTGACCGTACAGAATAATTTCCCCTAAACATCCGTGGTAATAATACTATTTATTTCAATTGAATTCTCAAGGTTATGCATGATACACATGAATATTCACAATATAAGTAATTATATTTTGGCCCCCTTGATGATGCCAAATAAGTCAAGCCATTTGCACATTCATAAGATTCTTATTGTGCTCTAATAAACCTGATCAAATTAATGAAAAAAATATATTTCTCTTATAAGATTGTAATCATGACATATTTAAAGAAGTCAAAATAAGCCAAAATACCATTAAGATTTTGATTAAGGATATCTGTAATTAAATTTTACTTGGGATATAATACTCATCTATGATTGTTTTAAGTGTTCTTGTTATGAGTGTGAAATTAAAAGGGATTTATCTTGTTTGGGCCCTTTGGTTTCACACTTCCTACCATTGACTAAATATATAAAAAAAATGTCTTGTAACAAGAAAACATCATACAGTTTTAAGTTCAACATAGCAATTTTCATCCTAAGCTTTTCTCAGAAAATATAAACATGACAAAGAAGAAAAACAAGTTTACTAAAACCAAAGCAAGATGAAAATTTGAATTCCACATACCTGGAGCAATGTATCCACACGAACCAGCAATAACAGACATAGATCTGGGCCCTTTCTCAACGCCTTCCACCACCTTTGCAACCCCAAAGTCTGCAACTTTAGCTCCAAGACCAGCATCCAAAAGAATATTGTTAGATTTCACATCTCTATGAACAATCGCAGGAACACAGTCATGGTGAAGGTAACAGAGCCCTTCCGCCGCGTCCACAGCAATCTTATACCTTGTCGGCCAATCCAAAACACTTGCTTTGCTACTATGCAGCAAGTCGCCCAAGCTCCCATTGATCATGTACTCATAGACAAGTAGCTTGCAATCCTTATGAGCGCAGCAGCACCAAAGCTTAACAATATTTTTATGCCTTATCTTCCCCAAAGTCGTTACCTCTGCTTCAAAAGCATCGTCTGCAGCTTGGTCATGGCTTTCACCATTCATCTTTGAATTCCTCCATAATTTCTTCACTGCCACAGCCTCGCCGTTGCCAAGCACTACCTTATAGACTTTACCGGAGGCACCGCTTCCGATCACATTATCTTCATCTAAGGAATCTAGTATCTCATACTCACTGAATCCTAACTTGTGGAATGAAGTGAGAATCCACTTGTTGGACTTCTCCTGCCCCTTGTTTGCCTTCTTGATCTGTTTGTATTTACAGTAAAAGAGAGAAATTCCGACGATTAATACTACGGCCATGAGGATAAAGATGGAACGAAGAAGCCACAAGTACTTGGTTCGGCTCCGGCTGTTGTTGGTAGAGCTTGGGCAGAGCCCGGACAGATCCCAGCATAAGCCCGGGTTGCCTAAAAAACTAGTCTTGTATGCGTCGTTGTGGAACATGGGAGGGATGGAACCAGAGAGCTGGTTATCAGATAGATTGAATTGGTTCAGTTTCAAGTTCTGTAATTGAAATGGGATTTCTCCGGTGAGGTTGTTGCCGGAGAAGTCGAGGTAGTTCAGCACCGGCAGGTTTCCGAGCTCCTGCGGAATCACACCAGTGAACTCGTTGTTCGCAAGGTTCAAAAGAGTGAGCTTGCTCCAAGATTGGATCTCGGTTATCAACTCGCCGGAGAGCAAGTTGTTGTGGAGGTCGAGCTGCCCCATCTCAGTCAACTTTCCGAGAGATTCAGGCAAGGGGCCAGTGAGCCGGTTGTTGCCGGCTGAGAAATCATAGAGCTTGTAGAGTAAACCAATCTCCGCCGGAATGTTTCCAGTGAACTGGTTCTTCTCGATGAGCAACTTGGAAAGATTGGCGGCGCCGGCGATATCAGGAGTGATTCCGCCTGTGAAAGAATTGTTGCTAAGCTCAAGAATCCACACATGGGGCAGTCCCCACATCCCGGGTGGCACATCGCCGGAAATCCGGTTGTTACTGAGCCGCACACGGTTGAGATTGGAGCAACGGCCAAGGCCCGATGGGAGGGTTCCAGTGAAGTCGTTTTCTATTAGAAGAAGCTCCCGCAGCAGACCGCCGTCACAGATTCCTCTCGGAATCTCGCCGGAGAGCTGGTTTTCGGATAAGTCGACAGCCACGAGCGGGGAGCGCGCCCCGAGACCGGCCGGAAGACTTCCTGAGAGATTGTTCGCAAAAAGCCGAAGCTCGAGGAGCTTCAACGCCGAGGCGGCGGTGGTGGGAATGGAACCGGTCAGCTGGTTTTGGTAAAGGTGGAGGTTGTCCAGATTGGGGATGGAGAAAACATCATCCGGAATCGAACCCGAGAGATGGTTCATGGAGGCGTCGATTCGACGAAGAGCAGTGAGGTTAGAGAGTCCAGCAGGTAGGTGACCACTGAGAGAGTTGTTATAAAGCTCGATTTGAACAACAGAGGCGAGGCTGGAGAATGACTCAGGGATGACACCGGTGAGGAAGTTGCTGGAAAGATCGAGATTTTTGAGCTTGGAGAGCACGCCCAGACCAGGAGGAATGTCGCCGACAAGACCGCAGCCTGCAAGCCAGAGCTGTTCAAGGTTGGTAAGATTAGATAATGAAGAAGGTATAACACCGGCGGCGAAGGGGTTGTAAGATAGATTGAGCTGACGAAGAGAAGACAAATTGCCCAGAAAAGAAGGAATGAGGCCATTGAGGAGATTACCAGTCAAGGAGAGAACTTGAAGGGATGGAAAGAGAGCGAATGAAGAAGGAATGGCGCCGGAGAAGTTGTTACCCGAAAGGTCGAGGAATCCAAGCAAGGGAAGGGAAGGCAATGAAGATGGAAGGAGTCCGACGAGGAGGTTTTGGGAGAGGTCGAGGTGTGTTAGAGAAGTACAGGAGAGGAGAGAGGAGGACAGAGAGGAGTTGATGTAGTTTAACGAAAGGGAAAGGAAAGAGAGATTGGGGAGCCGGCAGAGAGAAGAAGGGAAAGGGCCGGCGAGGTTGAAGTTCGCGAGGTTGACAGAGGTGACTGAAGAAGATGAACAGAGGATTCCCGTCCAGTTACAGGGAGTGGAGTTGCGGGAATTCCAGTTGGCAAGAGCGTTGTCGGGGTCGGAAAGGCCGCGCCTGGCTTCGAGAAGATAGAGACCTTCCTGGTTTAGAGAAGAAACTAGAGAAAATAGATGAAGAGAGAGCAAAGCAGTAGCTGCTACAAGGATGGGAAGCCGAAGCGGAATCATCTCTCCTCGTTATTTTTCCTTCCGTCTCGTCTCCTGCGCTGTATTGGGCTTTGTAAGGAGCCAAAAAGAGATCAAGTTGGTGGCGGCGGCGGTGGATTTGGTGGCAAACAAAAGCTTCCTTCGTTTTTTGTTTTTTTTGGAAAATTATTTTGAGTTTTTAATGGTTGATTTACTACATAAACACTGTATTTGTCACAGTTATGTTTGCTTATTACATCGTGCTATCAGCGATGTGATGTCAGTAAAATAGAATTCAACTCGCTCAAATTACCCTAAACTTCACAGAATTCAAGTAGATTCAAACGAGTTTGAACGGCAAAAATTCAAAAAATTAGTAGGCATTCATTATATGTATTTTATATCTGAAACTGAATGATGAATTTGGTGTGAGCGGGTTCAGTCAACTGAAGATTCTAATTAACCCATCGGGCTTAGTTTAGTTGGTAGGCGGACATAATTGGGTACCCCGGGATGCGGAACCCTTTATTGGTTGGGTAAATTATTGCGTCCCGTGTCCGGATTCATCCGGATACCAATCCAGTGTCTCCACATCACCAAAATATATCGAGACCTAGTGTATTTGGGTGACGTGGTGTCATCAGATTGGATGTCCGGATATCCGGTGACCGGATGCAATAATTCGCCTATTGGTTGGGGGGCGATTGCCCCCTAAAAAATTAAAATACCTTTTATATGAAGAGTTATTATATGATTATTTAGGTAATTTGTTCTGTTCGATATATTTTTTAGTGTTTATTACATGTGTTTTTTAGCAATTGCCCCCCCTAAAAATTTTAAAATACTATGGTCTACAAACAATTACCCCCATAATGATAAAACAAATTGTGTAGAGGTCTTATTATTAAGAAACGATGAACTAAATACAAAGAGAAATAGTAAAGAGAATTCATCATTTTATTTATTAATTTGAATTCCAAAAATATTCTTACAACCAAAATTTGTTCAAAGGCAGCCCCTTGACGCTGCAACCTGAACAGGCAGGTCGAACCCCGTCAGTTAGTTATAAGTTTGCCCCAACTGAAAATTAAAGCTGATTCCGTCCATGGGTACTCCCATCCTATGTTCGAATCTCTTCTAAAGCGGCACTCCTCTTTTGAGAGGAATAGCAAATCGTGGTTGGGCTCGGCTAGGTTCCACCGAAGGATTAGTTATGGCGTCATTCACCTCCTAAAAAGGTGACGGCGGGTATATACCCCATTCAAAAAAAATTCTAATTAGATATGCAGTGAATAAAATGTGTAAGCAATCTTTATAAGGAATATATAATTGTTTTTTTTTTTTTTATGACGAGGAACCGTCCGCTGCCACACCCGACTTTGTCGAGCGCGCTTGGCGATCCGTAAACCCCGGCCGATCTAATGGGCTACCAGGCCACAAACCCATAGCCGACGCTTTGGAGCTCCCCCTTAAGGACTAACTGCCGCTCAAGGGAATATAACTTGGGATGGGAGTTTCCCAACCGAGCTAAGCATAATTGTGTATTTCAATCATGTCAAGTATACACCAAAGTTCAGAGTTTGTGTACTCAGCATTTGATCGGCTCGGTTGCTCACATGCAGAACCGTGTTAAGTAATGTTTAGTCCGCATCAAATAATTCAGAGCATGAAAACTAAAGTTTGTAATTTTAGAAGATTTTAATCCAATTAGAGGAGATTATGATTTGGTTTAATTTTGTTAAAATTGTTATGTAAAGTGTAGTAATAATTAGATAGATAAAGAAGATTCAGTTTGGAGGAAAGGAAAAAATTCTATATAGGCATATATAATCTCTATATGTAAAAAATATTAAATATATATAAATGAAAAAAATAGTTTCATATAATAATTATATGTGTAGAAATATAGTTTAAATTTATATTTATGATTAATATATGAGGGGTTATTGTTCGTTTGGAAGGACATAAATCATGTATAAAATTTTTTAGTCAACATATCCTATCTTAAATTTAGTTATGATAAAGATCAAAGCTATTGAATTATTTTAAATTGAGTGAAAAATAAATTTTAATTAATTAATAGAACATTATGCTCATTTAAAAATTAATTTAATAATTTGAAATTTATTACTGGTATATCATCAAAAAATAATGTTGATCGGGCACGAACCTCGATGAAAATAAAGTTGAAATTTTAAAAAAATAAAGTGGAGATCATCTGAACTCTGATTTCAGCAAACTTCAGTCGAATTGAACGTCACAAAAATACAAACTCAACGACACCAAATTTGACTCAATCCTAGCCCAAAGGAGTCCAAATCAATGGCCCGAAGCATATTTGGAAGGTTCAATCGCTAATTTGGATTATCAAACAATTTGCAAACGTGACATGCTTATAATAGAATCGAGCGGCTTGACGAGACAAATCCAACAAGCCCAAGATCGTCAAATTCTGATATCATTAAGATATTCAAATACCAAATAAACGGTCCACAATGAAGATATTCAACATCGGCTGTTTATTTAAACTACTCTCAATTTACCCTTGATCTTCCTCTTATTTACAAGCAATGTCAGTCTCAGAAAATAATAAATAGATCTCTCATATCTCATGAGGAAGGAGGTGGAAGGAGGCCCAAGTAATAAGAGAAAAAAGAGTTCTCTTGCCACCAAGCTCCTCCTCAACCACGTCCCGGCCACCGACCGACACTGGACTTCCGCGTGTCACCGGATTTTTTTCGATGCCAGATTTCCACCCTTCATCAAACTTTTCCCCAACGTTGGAATTTCATCAGAGTTCTACACGACGTCGAACAACCTCTCGTCACCGGACTTCTACCTGTCGTCGTACTTCAACCCGTCGTGAGACTTTAGTCTAACTTCTATCTGACGTCGAATTTCTACCTGCCGTCGGACTTCTGGCGGTCTCCAGACTTATCAGACTTCTACCTAACGCGGAACTTCAGCATGTCACGGGACTTTCTTCTGACTTCTACCCGACGTCAAACTTCTACCCATCACCAGACTTCGATCTATCCACTGCCAGACTTCTACCCAACGTTAGAGTTTCACTCGTCGCTAGATTTCTACCTGACGTCGTACTTCCGCTTATTATCGGACTTCTTTCCATCGCTGGACTTCTGTTGGACTTCTATCTGTCGTTAGACTTTCATCCAATGTTGAACTTCTGTCTGATACTAGACTTCCATCTATCATCGAACTTCTGACCTCCGTCGCCAGCCGACTGCGGGCCATCCGACTTCCTTCTCCATATAACAGTCTTTCTGGCCACTATCGTCCATCGACTATGGTTCTTCCGACTTCCATAGCTAGATTGTGGTCCTTCCAACCTTCGTCACCAATCAACAATCTTTTATGACCACTGTCACCCGCTAACTACGATACCTTCGACCACTATCACCAGACTACAATCTATCCAACCTCCGTCGTTAGGCGACTATGGTTCTACCGACCAAACTAATATATCAATAGTGATTCTTTCAAGTCCCATTATGTAATGCATTTATATGATGTATATTTATTACATCAATCTAAGGCCTTCCCACAATCAAGGGCCTCATTTATAATTTACTGTAAATAATAGTTGATTAATTTAAACTGGGCCATGCTCTTTAGTTTTCCCCCTTTTTAAGATTTCTCACGTAAAAATTTTGGTGTCTCGTTAAATACTGCACCCTCTCTTTTATATGATTATGTGCTTGATTTTTGAGCAAAACTAAGAATGTAAGTGAAAATTGTATCAAACCAAGTGCTGCTCGGTCAAAAACTTCCCTCTCCCCCATAGTTATAAAGTTCGACTTTTGATGATTCCTTTCCATTATAAATATAATTTTTTCTGATACAACAATTTTTTACTTTGCATTCTCCATAATGCGAAGTTCAAATTGTTGAACTTTTCAATCTTGTATCTTGCTTCGTCCGTCATTACTCTTACTCGAATAGAACAACCTTTCGATGGAAGTAAAACATCGCAATGAAACAAACAAGAAAAATAGAAATGCGGCAAAAAGTGAAGGGCACTAGGATTTAACATGAACCCCCCCCCCCCCCAAAAAAAAAAGAAAGACAGAGCCACATCACACCAAGAAATTCACTATGAAGATTAGAAGAAATAAGTATATATCTCTCCTCTCTCTCACTCTCCCCTTACTTCTCTACTCTATCGCTCCTCTCTCACGCATAAAATAAAAGTTAATAATACCAAGGGATGTCGCCCTTGAGAAAAACGAGAAAGAAGACTATTCAATCAGCCTTGAAGCGCCACGATGTTAGTTTGGTGTGTTGCGGTGCTCAAACCTCTGATCCTAATCCATCTAATCTACGCAGTTAGATTAAACACAAAACTAACATTACTATCACTTTAGATCATTCTTATAATAATAAATCTTTTAAATTTATTTATTGGTTAAAATTTAAGCTTCATTTTAAATAGTTTTCTTATTAATTAAAACAATTTTTTAGTACAAAAATTTTTTGATAAAAATTTTTACACTTCAAAAATTTTTGTACTAAAAATAAAGTATTAAAAGTATTAAGAAAACTATCACAAACGCTTAGCTAAATTCTGAAGGATCCCTCAAAGACACTCATTTTGGAGGTGGTGGCTCATCATGGCATTTCATGTCCTTTAACTTAATGCTCAAATTTGGAAAACTCAATTTATTTTATATAGATAGTCATTCTTTTTTTGTCATAAGGTTTCCATCTACTCCTTCATTTGTCCTACCCTCAAGACTATACTGTGGCAAGGATGACGATTGAAAATTTGAGCAATTAATTGAAGCAATGGAGCTTTGTCCAATTGAGCTTCATGCTTTACTGATCTTATTCATCTAGACTATACTGTGTGACAATGATATGTCTACTATCAAGGAGCCATTCTTAAGCATTTTTTTTTTTTATTTCTAGTAAATTAAACTTGAAAAGATTAGTGTAGCTCCAGTGAAAATTAAGATTAGAGATCTATCTTAAATGATTTGGTCACATAAAATACCGGCTTTTAATTGACCTGATTAGAAGAGTAGATATATTAGATCTGGTTTATGCTAAGAAAAGCTGAGATAGACTTTAATAGACTTAATTAAAAAATATTAAAATTTATCTTTTCCTTATCAAATTTAAATGAGAATTTGACTTTTAATAGGATAAAATAGGAAAAAA